ATGGCCTCCTCCAGACGATGCTGCCCATGCGGTCGTGCAGTGACTCCAGGCCATTCAGTGGTCTGGCTGCTCGTAAATATGATTGCTGGCATTTCTCATAACATCTAGGGCTTTGATGCATGGTTACCCCAGTGACTGGAGTCTTACACATCTGTAATATTCTGGCTGTCACGTGGATCCTGCTGCCATATAGCCTCTGTTGAACCCTGGCTGCAGATATGCTTCACTCTTATTCTGCAGAAAGAGGTGCTTAAATCCAAGTGGCAAGCGGGCTCCCTTAAAGAGAAATTATCCTCAGCCAAGTTTCAGTCTGGTCATCACTACGCTGGCTTTGAGTCACGTTAGCTGGGTTCAGTTAGTACTGAGAGGCAGCAGTGCTTTCTTCTCAGACTGTTGCTTAACCCACAGCTTTGAGGAGTGCATTTCTCTTTCAACTGGCCAGCTAGAGCATCACTTAACTCTTGTATAAATGCACTGTAACACAAGGACTTGATTTGTAACTGAACAAATGGTCTTTTTTAAAAGGAACTGAGATGTGGTTTTTAGTAATACCCCATGATAAAAATTATACCCCATAAGTGCTATTTAACTCATAGACTACCTTCTTTATATTATATAGATTCTATGCAGGTCCTGGGAACTATATATATAGTTTCATCATGACATATACCTGGGGACAAGACATGAGGAAATATGGGTAAAAATGTGTCACTTTTTTGTGTCACCTAAGAAATAAGTTAGTAATCTTAAATGTCATTCTAATTAAGTGTATCCTCCTAGTTTAGATCCTATTTTCACTTCCTTTTGTTTCTTAGAGGTTCCTTTTAGGAATCAAGCCCTATCCAATCATTTGAGTATAAACAAATATCCATTTCACAAAGTTACAGAAACTCTAGTTTTTAATAGTCCCTCTCCCCCTTTTAAAACCATTCCAAGCACCAGAAGAGCACGCACTCTCCTTTTGCAGCCTTGGTTGACAAGATGGAGATCCTGGGGGATCACATGTAACCCACTGTCTACTGACCACTCCTGCAGTTATCACCTAGGTGTCCTTTTACTACTAGTACTGTTCTCTCTCTCTCTAGAATACCATTTTTCTGTTTATCCCAGCTAGGTGATTCATTTACTGAGATACTTTTGCTTTTATTTTGGGTCTAAGAAAAACATTACATAAATTACTCAATATCAGGTTCTAAGACTACTATACTTCTCAAATATTTAGAATGCTCCTCCTTATTATTCTAAAAGGTATTTGCCGCAAATCCAAATTAACATATTCTTCTGAGTATTCTGCTGAATCAGATTAACTAGTAGGGTACCTAAAGGTTGTACAGTTCTGACTCACAGGATCCAGAATGAAGATATCCTCACATTACTGGACGTCAAGCTGTACAACAAAAAGCACACTGCGTCTTAAAGCAACTCCCTAGTAAGAGGTGCAATGCCTACAGACAGAAGGTATGGTTTTGAGCTAAGATTTATATCCACTAAATGTTGCATAAGGCAAACAAACTTCAAGTTCCACAAAATTAGTGTTCTACTATTGTAATTATACATAACAAAACATGTAACATTTTCAGATTTGCCTCCACAAAAGTGATGTGTGTCAGTAACTGAAGACACTATATATACAAGTACAGAAATAAATCATTTCCAAAGACAATCAGATCTTATTTAAAGTTCAGGACCTGCCACTTACATTTGTGAATATTTTTATTTATAAAACAATAACTAACAATTTTCACTAATGTGTGTTATATTTTCAAGACATGAGACAAGAGCTTGGAGAAATAAAAACCAAAACTATCTTGAAAGGCCACGTCAAGTTCTCAGCCTCTCCTGTGTGGTATGTGTAGTAAAGTCATTTAAGAATGAAGGATACACAATTTGCTTACCTACTATCACAGATGAAGACGATCAACACGAAGAGTACAGAACATAAAGTTCAAAGAATTATACCTGTACTTCAAAAATTCCAAATGCCAAACTAACCTTAAGTTTAACCTGTCTACCAATTATTTTTATTTCCTTTTATCACTAGTATCACTAGTGTGGAAGACCATTAAGAAGCCAAAAAAGTTTTTAAATATATTAATCGTTAAAAACAACAAGGAGGAGTTTGAAGAATATATTTGAACCACATGAACACACAAAAAGGTATTACATAAGAAAAAAATAATGTAACAGTTTAAGTACCTAACATATGAACATGCTCTTATTTCTAGAACAAAAAATAAAAAGGTAATATTGGTACTATATATATATATTTGATACGTGTGCATTAAAGAATTCTCTAATATAAAACATTTAAAATGTGGAGAGTATTTTTTTCAAGATACAGAAAATAACTGTTAAGATAGACACACTCAAAATTCTTACAAAAACATGCTTGCGGAAGATAAAATTCACCTGAGTACTCATTTCTCAGATGTGCTAAAGCTACAAAATTTTTAAGCGTTGGATATTGCCTCCCTCTTTTTCACTGTTTGTGTTCCAACACTGATTAATAAGAATTATGAGTTATATAATTACTGTTACTTTTCAGTGTTTCTGCCAAGGTTCCATATAGAACACATCTATTTAAGATGAATACTTAAAACGCAACATTATTTGTATGTAAGTCACTTTCTTATGTTTTCCTTTCTTAAAAAAGGCACCATATATAGAAAAGTTATTACAACAAATAATGCTTTGAAAAAATCTGAAATTCCCAATGTGCTCCATCAACCATAAGTAGATCTAAGAAGCCCTAACTGAAAAGAACACAAATGTAAAATGCTGATAAATTTAAAGATTATAAAACTGGTTTATTGTAAAAGCAATTCAAGAATACCCAGTTAAAATCTTATCCCAATGCTACCCAATACAACCAAGAAGTAGTTAAACACTTTTACATTAGGAACAAGGACATAAAACAAAGACCACATCAAGGCTGTGATGCAAACTGGGGAAGAGGAAGCACTCTTAGTTCTCCTTCAGGTCAGTACAGGGTTCAGTGAGATCAAAGCACTGTGTCTGTCAGATACCACGGTGCTGCTACACAGTGAGGTATAACTGGGCAAATTAAAGTCAAGAGGAAACGAGAACTCCCTCTTCTTGTGTTGTGGGTGTACTTAAGTGACTGAAGTATTAGGAACAACTTGCCTTTAAGGACAGCAAGATGCAAGACACGTCTTTATTTGAAGAAAAAGAAGCTCATAAAGTTCTCTATCAAGATCCCACTAAGTCCTCACAACCCCCCTCCCACATCCCCACCCTTTCCCTAACCTAAAGCTACTCTGCTGATACATAAGATGCAACCTTAATTTGTGGCTTACTGGCAAATTCTAGGCACTCCTTCCAAGTAGCTTTGATCTTCTGCACATAAAAAAACCAACATGCTGTATCATTCATATACTCAATTATGCATTCTAGGTAGAATTTCATTATTGCTCTAAAAAAAAAGAAAATCATTGCATCTGCACAGTGGCTATTTTCCCCCAGACTTAATTCAAGATTTAATCTTTCTGCTGTTTTCTTAATAAAAGCCTTAGTGTCAATTATTACAAATGACTGATCTATAAATCATTATATACAACACAGTGATTGCATTTTTGAGCACAGAAAGCACTTAATATAAAACTTCTCACTTCCAACTTTAGCATTCCTCTAAACTGAAGGGTCAAAATACTCAGATTTTGTAATTAGAGAAAAATATCTATCTTTCCAAGCTGAGGCTTTTCACAGAAGTTTTCTCCAGGAAAATAAATTTTATGTCTGTTATAAATCCTTGAAAATAAACTTTATGTCCGCTATAAACCCTTGAAAATAAATTTTATGTCCGCTATAAACCCTTGAAAATAAAGGCTTATTCTAGAAACATTGATAGACCCTCAATGAGAGGTGCTAGGTGGTGCCACTATAATTCACAACCAACTATTACTTCATAGCTTATATTGAAGAGTTGATTCATGCTCATTTTGTTCCTTTAAAAAACACTCTTTGGAAACCACTATTACTCCTGTTAGATACATACTCTAGTTATAGCTCTCCCTGTAAAAATAAAAGTATAATCACGATTATCTCTATTTCTTTGCTAAATTCAACTACCAATATACATTTATTAATCTGATCACTTAACCAGCTAACTTATGAACCTTAGAGTATTCTGTGTAACTGTCCAGGGTCAATTCTCAGCATACAGAAGTAGGAGCAAGTCTTACAAGTATGAAAAATCTTGCAGGCAATATTTCAATGTAGTCTTTAATGTGTTCATTACAAAATGCAAACTAAAGTACTAGAATTTATTTCCAAAACTAAGGTGAAGATAAACTTCCAAAGCTAAAGGAAGGTAAATCACTATATAAAGCTTACTTCTGTCCTGTACATCATGAACCTACTCAGTGATTTCCCATCAAGACTTAAAATTAGTCCAAGGGAGTAACAAGGGAAAAATAAAGCCGTAGCTTGTTTGCTTCATTCAACTTCATCAAATAGTGTTTATTCTGTGCCCAGAGGGCATACAGGACTCCTCTAGACACTATCCACAATAGCCCTTTCTAGAACACTAAACTACCCCCAAACACCTGCAGACTGCCCCAACCAGATTTAAGCTACCTGTGAGATATGAACTACTAGTCATGTATTCTAAATGCATACATTCAAAGCTACCATTTTAAAATATATTGGAAAGTAGGGAAACCTTAAAAAAAAAGATACATTCTGCTATCACACTATTATAAACATTATAAGTGTGTGTGTGTGTGTGTATACAGAGAGAGAGCAAATAATCAAGATTTAAATAAGATGGCAAAAAATCAGGAAATGTAGATTTTACCAAAGTAACTACAATAACCGTCCCAAGCTACAACTATAAACAGACTCACTGCTATGGTAATTTGCCTAGGCTCTGGAAAAAAAAAAAAACCAACCAAACCTAAACAAAAACAAACAAACAAACCCACAATAAACCCC